AGAGAGAGAGAGAGAGAGAGAGAGACACACACACATACACACACACACACACACACACACAGAGACAGAGAGAGAAAGAGAGAGACAGAGAGAGAGAAACAGAGAGAGAGAGAGAGAGTATCAGAGAGAGTAGTTGAGAAACTCACCGCACGATGTGTCCAGTCTTGTTCTTCTTGACCCCGCCAAAGATGAGGTCCTGCTCCCAGGCCATGTACTTGGCGGCAAAACCCGCGCAGCCTTTGGAGAACTCGCCACTGATGTCTGGCACCTGCAGAAAAACCAAAGGAGTTGGTTCGTTTGTCAACTTTTTAATTGTTGCTTCTTTAACCCTATCCGTACGTCGTGTTTTACTATCGTATCCATAGGAAGAGGGGGACTCTGTGCCAGCACTTAACCCTATCCGTACGTCGTGATTTACTATCGTATCTATAGGAAGAGTGGAACTCTGTGCCAGCACTTAACCCTATCCGTACGTCGTGTTTTACTATCGTATCCATAGGAAGAGGGGAACTCTGTGCCAGCACTTAACCCTATCCGTACGTCGTGTTTTACTATCGTATCCATACGACGAGGGGAACTCTGCGTCAGCACTTAACCCTATCCGTACGCCGTGTTTTACTATCGTATCCATAGGAAGAGGGGGACTCTGTGCCAGCACTTAACCCTATCCGTACGTCGTGATTTACTATCGTATCCATACGACGAGAGGAACTCTGCGTCAGCACTTAACCCTATCCGTACGTCGTGTTTTACTATCGTATCCATAGGAAGAAGGGAACTGTGCCACCACTTAACCCTATCCGTACGTCGTGTTTTACTATCGTATCCATAAGACGTGAGGAACTTTGTGCCACCATATTCCAAAGAGGAAATTCACTCGTTAATCCGATCCGTATGCTTTGCACAGTAGTCTGTCAAAATGATTTTTTTTTTTTTAGAAATACTAAAAGTTTCAAAGAGATCTTCGTACTAGAAGTATTCTAAAATGTGAAGAATACAACCCCGGGGGTACAAAATGACCCCAGTGAGTACGGATAGGGTTAATGTATGTGTCTTTAAACCCCTATCGAGAAAATTTAGATAATTTATGAGGCGGCATCAACCCTGCCTGTCAACAGCCAAGGCTAATCCTAACCAGGGCTATGAGGAATACAAGTCACTAGCAGAAAGACTGGGATACTCGATATGAGAGAGAGAGAGAGAGAGAGAGAGAGAGAGAGAGAGAGAGAGAGAGAGAGAGAGAGAGAGAGAGAGAGAGAGAGAGAGAGAGAGAGAGGGCACCGGCGGCGTTTGTAGGCTTTCTTTCCCTCATCACAAGCAAAAAACGCCAGTTTATTTTATCAAGCTTGGATGCTGTGTACCACCCAGTCCTGGGTTGGCCTGTCATGAAGAATAACAAGAGTGGCGTCAGTGGTCTAGAGGTTAAGCTGTCAGACTAGTAACCATACTGCCATGGTTTCAAACCCCATCAGGGCCCCATCGTTGGTAAATGCACTTTTATGAATTTTCCCCACTTCACCGAAGTGGAATGAGTACCCTGCTATAGACGGCGACAGATGGTGTCAGTTTGTTAATGTTTACTTAATCGATTGCTTGCTTTGTACGCTTCCTGGGAAGCCGAGAATCTTTCTCAGTGTTCAAGGTCTGCTGGGGTAATAACAGTTGTAACCACATAGACCGACCTGCAGAGCATGGGTAAGCGCTATGTAAATGCAGTTATTATTATTAAAGGACTGGATTAAAGGGGTGTATCTGTTGGTGAAGGTCTTCACCTCCAGGTGCTGCGGCTTTATGCTTTTGCCCTTTACATGAATTGTTAAACCCAGCCTAGTAGTATCCAAAGGAACGGTTGCCATATTGATAAATCTTTCTGTACCAAGCATATGCCTACCGCCAGCGTTGTCACATGTCTCATCATTTACCCTGAAAAAAGGGTTTTCGCGGGCGGGACGCTTGGATTCTGTACAGACTGGAAACTTGAGAACCTTTATGTGCCAGGACTCCCATGGCTTCCATTGAGCTCATCGTGTTTCCATAGCAACTCTTTGCTGGGGTCGTGTTTTTTCTTGACGTCTTTTCTCTCTTTTCCCTTTTCCTTCCTCTTTTTATATAAGGAGTAAGACGTATTGAACTGTCAAGAAGGAAAATTTAACTGAAAGCCGGAGTAGAAATGTGTCTAATGTATATTTGTAGACTTTTTGAATTCCAACTGCACGTTTTTCTTTAATAGTGACTGTTTCTGAAAAATTACTTATATCGTTACGACTTGTCTTTTTAAGTGGCAAATGGGGGGGG